ATAATAACATTTGGTTAAATCATTTTATTTGATGAACGCTAGAATTTATCATTATTTCCCATCGATCGTACAATTTTTTCGAGAGCTCCGCAATTATCTCATTGATCCTATAATTTTCTCGGAGGTCCTACAACTTTTTCGAAGGTCCTACAATTTTTTCGAAGGTTCTACAATTTTGTCAAAAGTCTTGCAATATTTCCCTCTTGCCTCTATTACATACACAATCCTAAATATAAATAGTACCGAGTGAGAATAATAAAATATGAAAATAGAATACATACTAATATCATCGGTTACGTAAAAAGATAATATGTAACATAAGAAATCGAGTCGTAATTTCGAAGTACTGAACGTTAGTTAGTTAGTACTCTGACGAATATCCAAGGGAAATCTGAAGTAGCGAGCTGCACATTGAAAAGTTGCGCGAACTAAATTTCCTTTTTCCGAGAGTCAAAGAGCGAAAAGGAGAGAGAAAAAGAGAGAGAGAGAGAGAGAGAGAGAAAAGAAAGAATAGAGGGAGGCAGACATTTATTGATTCACCGATTTCATCTTCAAGGACTCGTGTGCATCGTGAGAAGCCCTCTGTCTCCAGACACCTTATCAGACGATAAGGTTATTCCAATAGAAGACTATTTCCACAAACGTGCAAACAATAGAGAGGAAGAGAGACCCATGTATTACTAGTTCGCGATTTGCATTATTTTCAGATCTCCACGGAACAGAAATTATATATTTCGACGACACTGTTGATGTTAGTGCATATAATTAGTATATTACACCTTTCTCAAGATCAACATGGATCTTTTAATTTTTATTACACAAGACTATGTTAATCTATTCTGAAATAACGATACTAATAACTCCAGCAAATACCGATGTTCTCGAGAAAAAGCATAATTCTAATATTGCTAATTCTTTCGTTTTCTGTTCGATTCAAAGCGTCTGCTATTTCATAAAAGTACCAAACTATAATTTTGTTCGATGTTCGAACTGACTCGTTATCGAAAATACATCTTAGAAATCAGTAGCGAAAAGTCAGCAGTTCTCCGAAAGTCTATAATCGAGAATTGTAATCACAAAAGCGTGGGAAATTCATTGAATCGCGTAATTAAATTCGCATTAGCATCGATCGGATCGCGCTTCCTTTCCGCGACGAGATTCTGAATTTTCAATCGTTCAGATCCTCGTTTTCGAGCAGTCGTGAATAATCGATGGAAAGAAACGAACAAGTGACGATCAACGAAAGGAACAAAAATTAAGAACAGATCGATTAAAGAAGATAAAATTGTACGGATTTTTAAAAAATTTGTTAAAGACTACTGATTCTTTAATGGCCTAATAGAGCATCGAACCGCGACCCTAACTACTAGACTACGGATCGTTATGCGAAATAAAAATTGTACATATGAGCCGTTTATTTTGAAAGTGGCATAAGTTACTTCTTCTTTTTGTTTAAATGAAAAGATACCGTTCAATTGTAATTAGTGTAATTAACTCGATTTGTTTAAAAAAGTGACTTATACCACTTTCAAAATAAACGGCTCATATCAATTTCAAAATGCAAAATCGAAGCACAATTTGATTTCTTCCTGTAATAATTCGAATCGATACACCAACATTTTTAGCTTTATTTTTCAATCTTGTCACAGCTTTTTTTACACACCCATTTACTGTCATAAACGCATAAAGATCCGCCGTCTATTAATTACTAATCGGCGAAGCGATCGCCACGGATCAGCGAACGATTAGTTCCGCAAAATATTTTCCAGCTGATCCGGTGCTCGTCACGCACGACAAACTCATTAAGAAGCGGGACACGGCTACGTGGGAAACCACTAACCTGTGTATTTTTCCCGGCGTCTCGGTCGACGCGTACTCCGCTGATATTTCTATCGGCTGGTTTACGCAACGGCATAAATTATCGGACAATCGAGTATTCATACGGAAGACTGTTGTCAACGCTGTCGATCTCGCGAGTCTCTTGCCGATACACTTGAAGATCCGCGTCGGGCTCGCGAAATCGTTGGAAAAACCAGCTGTCTGTTACCTAATTGCAGTTTTTGTTATTCGTAATGTGTCGCGATGTGGCGATCGTAAACAGTGCGCATTCGCCGGGATCGATGGTGGAAATCGAATAGACAAATTGTATTAATAAAAGAACACGAAAACAGCCTGTACTCCATTAGCCATGCAAATATTCAATAACCGTGGCCGTAATTCCGGTTTAGCATTGATGTTGACGCCGTTCTCCGATTTCAGACTCTCGTAATTGTAAATAGCAATCACTGTGATCAGCGACGAGAAAATCAAGCATATTTCTCTAATTTCACTTTCAATGGAATCTTGCAGTATCTACATCGTTCTTCTCGCATTTTGGAACTTGAAAATTCAGGGGGAAAAAACCTTTACATAATTTCTATCGACAATCCCAATTTAATCAAGGAAATAAAAGATTCTTTCGATTGTAACTTTCTGATCTGTGGTTTGGAAAACGAGTTGTACAGACGCCAAAATATAACCCTCTGCGAAAATGAACATGATAATATTGAAATTCCAGTGAATAACAACGAGGTAAACGTAGATCCAAGGAACATTGTAATCCCATTTCCGAGAATGCTCGGAAACTCTTAACAAAACAATATTTGACACAAGTGAAACCAAGAACGTGTACTTTCAAATTACTCACTCCTATATGAACTCGGAGAAAGTATATTCCCTACCAACTTCGCGGCATATTTAACAAGAAGTTAACAAATTGTACTACCTTGGCCGAGGATTGAGCATACTAAAATAACCCACCAGTACATACTCTTTAAACAACAGATAAACCACTTTGTATCAACTGTAACATTGAGCTTACAGTTAAGCACATTCTAATAGAATGTCCATCGTACAACGATATCAGGGAAAAAGTAAAAATGCCCAATAGCATCGAAAAATGTTTGGACAACTATAAACATGCGGCAAAAGTTATGTCGTATTTAGAAAAAAAGGAATCTAGAGGAGAATCTAGAGGAATCTAGATTGAGAAAATAATGTTGAAGCCATAGCGTTTGGTACAGATAATTTAATGTAAAAACTATTGTATATATTACATCTACATGTGAGCCTACAAGTGGTAATCCTACAAGTGGTCGCTAATTGCTATTAAACATAAATAATGAAAAAAAATAGTAAATGATCGTCTACAAGGCAAAGTTTAGCGATCGATTTATGATCTAACCGAGTTATCACCTTTTGAATTCGATTTGGCAAAAATTCTATCGAAAAATGATTTTTAGACGAACAATAGATTCGTGTAAAACAGTGTTAGCCTTTCTAAAAGTTATCGAATTTCGCCATTTGATATTAACACTGACCTAACATATTTTATTTAATTACATACCTTTCCAACGTGGTCACTGATAACTAGATTGCGAATTTTATGCATTTATGACAAATATGATTAGGTGAAATACAGAACAGTAAGAACATTTGAAGAACTTAAAAATACTCGCCTCGTCTTTTTACGAAATTAATGTTTCGCTAAAAAATAATTTGATGTTTCGGCTTGTTCATTTATTACCATTTCGATATCCATTTGATATCAAAGTACGTAGGCCATGCTGTAGAAATTAGGGACAGAAGATCGAAAAATGAATTACGAAAGATCGAATAGAAAGCATCGAACCTAGACTTGCAATTAGAGGAAAAGAGTACGAACGTTACGCGTCGACTTCCTAATACATTACCATTCGCAAATGAACGTGCATGCATGAGAATTTACATAACGCTATTCATTTCCATTATAATTGATTCTCGCATGTACTACAAGGTGCTATCGAATCAACCAACGCAAAAAAAGAGATATGCTTCGAACACTCTTGGGAGAACAACTTCAACTTTTCGCAATCTTGTTCCACTAGCATCGAGGCTTTATTTAACAGTTTACTAAAAATTTCTGCTGCATCTAAGTAGATCAATCCCTCGAATTTCTCGATCATAATCAGTTCAAATTATCTGCTCCGATTTATATATATCTGAATAATTACTCGATTTAAACACTAAACAAGTCAAATTGACTGGACTCTTAACTTTTCTTTTGCAATTATATTATAAAGATGTTTATTTGAGAAATGTTCTGATGAACTTCTTGGTCCAAGCATATATATATTTAAAAACAGAAATCGTTCGAAGTTTACGTAAAAAGAATCTTGTAATTATTACAGAATAATTCGATAGTTCTAGATAGATATAGAATTATGTCGATACAGATTTCGTGGAACGAAACCATTAAACGTCGTACGTTCAACGACAAAAAAAAGAGAATCATCATTTGTATCCAATTACAGAATATACACAGAATAATATTCAACAGATAATAATTTCAGGTTATTTCGGCCGAACGAGATATCGGTATATTCTACATTCGAAAATAAGAAAAAAATGTCGCACAAACATAAGGCTAAAAAGTACTTAAAAATCCCGTCGAAATCGGTCGACGTTGTTACAAATAATTAAAGATCGTAAAAATTTGTGCGATTTCTACTTTTAAGAAATTGTAAAATAAAGCTGAAACTGAGACTTATATTCTCTTAGAAAGTCTAAATCTTTCAGTTAGTAATTACCTACAAACAAATTCCCGAACTTCGCTTATTTCTTAACGCCTCAGGGGTGGTGACCCCTCTTAAATCGCGGAAAAGAAAAACTACCATCGCCGGTCGAACGACCGGTTTTACATTTCTTATTTTCAAATTGTTGCAATTACGAAGACTCTTTCTTAAGAAACGATCCAATCGATTTCTTCATTACAAGCATGCATTATAATAAAGATGGCGAGAGAATAAACAAAATATTGCTTTCCGTCGTAAGAAAGCAACACGGGTTATCTGCTTTTAGGGCTCTGTAGGTATAGTAGCAGGCAAGCCGGTGGCCTCCGACGCAGAAGGCGCGAGGAAAAGGCGGCGCGAGGGGATCGATAAAGCGTCTACGGCTCTAACATACAAGCTGAGCATACTAACCTGGCCTTGCGCTCCAGCTGGCCGCTCAACTCGTTCCTCTTCAGCACGAACGGCAACCTGTTGCTCACAACGATCATGCTCCCGTTGGAGGAGAAGCTGCCCGGCTCTGTAGACATTTCCGCGAGTTTCAGATCGTCTATCAGTCGGTCCGTGATTGACGGTGACCACCACCGGCGTGCGGCGGTGACGCTCGACTCCGTGTCCTCTCTTCCTCTTTCCGTGGCGGCCGATCTGCACGCGCGGCCCACCGGTTCAGCAACGACTGCTTAACCGTGTCGCGTGTGTCACGTGCGATCACGTGCGCAAAGCGGAGCCGAAGTCGAAGGAGATCCGCGCGAACCGGGTCGGATCGCTAGTCGATTCTTGTTCTACCGGGGAGCGTCGCGTGGTTCTCTGTCCACTCGGACCGTCTCTGTCCACGGTGTGTGTGTATGTCGTCCCGACGATTATGTGGTCCGGGTGTGCGCCGATTCGCGTGCCAATTCTTTTCGATGCTTGTCGCGAGTCAACGCGGGATCGATCGCAAGGTAGGAGTAACAAGCGGCACAAAAAAAAGAAAAGACAGGAGGAGAGTGGTCCTGATAGGGATGCGGTGATAGCAGTCTCGGTAATATAGTTTTAGTGTTGGCTCTAGTGTTGTCTCTAGCGTTGGTTCTAGCGATGGCACTAGTATCGGTATCGGTGATAGCAGTAATAGAAGAAGATGATGATGATGATGAAGAAGAAGAAGAAGAAGTCGCAGATCGTGTGAGTGTGCCGCGGTGCGTGGCCGAAGTAGCACTGAAGTAACGATGCCGCGTTCCCCTGAGTTTATTCGAGTTAGCCGTAGCGGAGGAATTGGTCCAAAGTGCGCTCTCTCTGCGACCGTATCAATGACGGGGCCGCGACCTTTTGGCCACCCACCGGTTCCTCCTCGTGCACACCACCGCCCCGGCACCGCCGTCGGCACACGTAAACAGACCTCGCCTCCTCCTCTTCTTATTCTCGGCCGGTCTCCGTCGTCCCGTCGCGGAGCGTCGTCGCGTGTCGTGACAGACGATCAGGGTTATCGGCGGCCCGTTATCTATTAATTCCCGGATAACGCGCGCCGCTGCTAATGGGACGACAAACGCACGTACGAACACGATGTCGTTGTGTCGACCAGCGGGCAGCCGTACACGTTCCACCGCGACGTTACCACTGTCAACACCGCGCCGCCGACGGATAGGTCACTAAAGACGACTTCGGCACCGCCGCGCTCCGATCCGGATCGCGATGGTAGAGCGTTTTCGCACGTTCGTCCTTCGCGAGAGACACCTTCGCCCGATGACCAATCGCCGACCGGTGTCGTCACCAGTCTACCACGCTCCGCGCTTCCGGCGACTGGCTGTCTGCCGAGTTGTACCGTATTTTTCACTTTCTTTCAGCGACGCCGGCAAACGAGGAAGAGACACACGGGGATAAAGATCGCGTTAACGCTACGTTTACGGAGCACTGAAACAGCTGCTTTATGTTACTTTGTTAGGGTTACGATAGAGTCATTTTAGCTGATTTTTAACGAATGTTATTGTAATATTTATTATTTAATGTTTAACATTTATTAAGCCTTCGAGGACGAACGTCGTCGTATGAACGACATCGGAACGTACGTCTTATTCCAGAAATTGCATTCGTACAATTCGATAATGTGCCTAATAGAAAATTAAGATGTTATCGATTAATTCTTCCCATTGTTTAAGACGTTTGACATAGAATTTAGATCTTCGAAGGAAATATACGTAGCATTTTAAAAAATCGTCGACCGTGATTGGTTAATATTATAATATTGTAACACGTGTATCGAATAGATAACTCGTGAATGTACTCATTGTAATTTAAATAATCGTGTATCAAAAGATCAGTGGCCCGTCATTTTCACGGCTTCCGTAAATTTAACGTTAACACGTTGGCTGTCAACTTTTCGAGAAATTCTTCAGTCAAATCGGTGCATCTAATTTAGCTATCCATCGTTGATCTTTCGTTTAAAATGATTTTGGTTGATACAGTAGCTGGGAAACTTGGAGACATGATTTTTTACGAGCACACGATGGCTCGCGAAAGTACACGAACGCTAAATCTTCAATCGTCGAAAACTTGTCTGTAATTTTTTGGAAATATGATCGAATCGTTTCGAAGATTGAAGCCTCTACTTTCGCTAATCCACCGTTGATTTCCGTTCAACCCTTAACTGTGTTAACCCTTAACAATCNCGTTGATCTTTCGTTTAAAATGATTTTGGTTGATACAGTAGCTGGGAAACTTGGAGACATGATTTTTTACGAGCACACGATGGCTCGCGAAAGTACACGAACGCTAAATCTTCAATCGTCGAAAACTTGTCTGTAATTTTTTGGAAATATGATCGAATCGTTTCGAAGATTGAAGCCTCTACTTTCGCTAATCCACCGTTGATTTCCGTTCAACCCTTAACTGTGTTAACCCTTAACAATC